GGAATGGAAAGGAGTGTAAAAAGGAGTGAAAATTCTGCAGTTGTAGCCCATCCACCTCAAAGTTAACTGTTTTGTGCATGCTAAGATGTTATTCTGCTCACCATGGTTGTAAAGAGTGATTATATGAGTATATGAGCTCAAACTAATCTGAGTATTTTCCTCTGGCCTCTCTTATCAACAATACATTTCCCCCCACAGAACTGTAACTCAGTCAATGTTTTTTGTTGTGTTTTCAAATCATCATTTCCTCTAAATACAAGAAAAAAAAATTTTAAAAAAAAAAAAACCCCCCCATCTCTTTTTCTTCATTCCGATGTTTGATATCAACATTACCAGAAGCTCTTGACCTTTATCTGCATATTTTTTGCATTGTGCTGCTGCCACATGATTGGCTGATTAGACAACTCCATGAATGTACAGACATACAGGCGTTCCTAATGAAGTGGACGATAAATGTATATGTAATGTTGGAACGTCTATTAGAGAATGTTTGGAGAATTGGATTGGCATGTTTCCAATACAGATTAACATGGAATTCCATAGTAAAATTTCATGGGACTCACATGTCATTGGCCACTTCTTTATAAGATTGCCTAACATTTACAACTTGCAGATGCATATCTCAGTGTGTGTTGCAACTAGCTATTTTCTCACTAAGAAATTACATGGTGACATTTCCCTCACATACCCTTGCATGGAGACACCCAGAGATAATGTTGGAAGGTTGCATTGAACTTTTTGCTTCTAGGGAGTTTGCCATTATTATTTAGTTGAAAACATCCAAATATTTGACACTGGTTTGATTTTTCATTTTCATTGAGATGATATAGAAAGCAACTAGGGTTCTGGTAATGTGAAATAATTACAGCATTTTTCATTAACAAGTTCAAATCATCATACAATTCAGTAGTGGAAAAATAAACAAACAGGTTTTGTTTAATTCCCAAAAAGTGGGTTTTTTTAATCTATGACTGTCAGTTAATCAGATAATCATTATCTAAACACTAAACAGCTTCCTAGTGGAGAACATCTGAGACGTGTGACACCCTTCACCCTTTCTATTATAGTATATAGTTCCTATAACTTTTGGCTTTCCTGAATAGAAGTATATTCTTCTTTTGCATGTATCTTAATCACCATAGAGTTATAACAGTTTCCAAAAGTGAAAAAGGAGAAAATAACATTATAATATTCAAGGATTCAAGGACGTTTTGAATTGTCATTCCAAAACATGGGCTACATGAAAAGAAACGAAACTAAAGAACTGAGGTCCTGGTAACAAAAGCAAAGAATTAAAAACACTAAATATAAAATTAAGTGTCGCAATAAAATTAGTGGAGCAAGAAATGGGTATTATAAATAAACAATATAATTTACAATACAGCAATATAATCTTTATGATGAGTGTTATTGCACTTGAAAAGAGTATTATTGCACATGAAAGAGTCTCTGATGTATGAGTGCTATTGCACATTAGAAAAGTTTTTGTTTCGGGAAGAAGCGGTTTTTGATCCTGGTTGTTCTGGCCCTAATGCTGCGCAGCATTCTACCTGAGGAAACACTCAGTGAGCAGGGTGGAAGGAGTCTTTCATGGTACAGTGAGTCCTGTTTCTGCATCTGCCTGTGTGAATGTTCTCAACTATTGGAAAACTGCAGCTGGTGATCCTCTGTACAGACTTAACTACACGCTACAGAGCATTCCTGTCTGCAGAAGAGAAGTTTTTGTAACACATGGTGACACATGATGTAAGGAAATTCCATTACATTCTGACAGCCATTTAATTCTATTGCAAACTGAATAGATTAGACTTCTGCCTATCCATCCGTCTATCTATCTATCTATCTATCTATCTATCTTATCTATCTATCTATCTATCTATCTATCTATCTATCTATCTATCTATCTCTCTGTCTCTCTCTCATATATATATATATATATATATATATATATATATATATATATATATATAAAATGTTGATCTTGCTGTTTGACAGAATTCAGCCGGAGCAACATCAAACATGTTTAATGTAAACAAACTGCCACATGATTATGAAAAGGCCAGTCCTTGTATAATGTGCCTCCGTTATGTCTCTACTAAATAATGTGCCTCTGTTATGCCTCTACTAAAATCTGCTGTTTGAAGTAGACTATAATGGTATTTGCTAAGGTGTGGAATGTAAAAAAAACTTTGTAAAAAACAACAAAAAAAAAACAGTATACTGCCTCTAAGATAGAATCTGTAAGAATACAATGCATACCCTATTCCCTTCAAACACAGTAAAAATATAAATTAATCTGAAATAGACATCTAAACACTGTTCAAATTCAACAATACTCTCTTTTTTCCAGAGAAGGAAAACACTATATCCAAAAGGGAGAACATTTAACTACTTCGATCTAAAATAAAAATAAAATCAAAATTCTAATATTGAATGTAGTCCCAGTAACAAAACAGGTTTCAGTCCTGTTTACTGGCATAGTGATGAATAACATTCTTTCCTGATGATGTAAAAATGTTCCACAACACCTGAACTGAATTGGAACGGAAATGATAGGTTCATTTACGTGTTTTTTTTTTTTTTGCATGTCCTTACATGACAGTTATGTCATACAGTAAAGGCAGTGCTACTATACACATACAAAACTAAACCTTCCATATAATAAATATAATCCAAAGTGGTGTGTTAAATCACAAGGTATTTAATATAAACCAAAGTTATTTATTTATATATATATATATATATATATATATATATATATATATATATATATATATATATATATATATATACATATAAATGACCTTTTTTTGTTCAATCTTAAGACTTGTTGCAGTTTTAAAAGATGTTGCACTTTGATCAATACATCTCTTTCATTTGAGCCGCTATTTATCATGAGCTGTGTTTAAATGTGTAAAGTAGGTCTTTATTGCAGGGAGTAACTGTAAAATACACACAGCACACTGACTCAACTCTGACAACAGTGTTATTCATTTACACAACCATGCTTGTTTAACTCTTTCCTTATAACCATCTCTGTTCAACTCTGTTTGGACTTGGTGGTAGCAGTAGCAATAGAAGCAGTAGTTCAAATAGTGTTCAAACAGTTCACTTACCTCAGTTTGTGTGTGAAATGATTCAGGTCTATCAGGAACAGAATGTTTTCTGTCAATGTGTTAACCCTGGCTTGGCACATGCACACCGGTGGCTGCAGGATCAGAGCAGTGGTTTCAGAGCAGAGTGTTTATCTACATGAAGAAGACTCCACCCAAGAAACACTCCTCTGTTTCAGACAAAACACCGGGGAAAGATTTTTTATCCTGCACGCTTGAATATGAGCCAAAGTCATTACCAATACAACCCATGGCTATTGTTTCTTTCTTTCTTTCTTTCTTTCTTTCTTTCTTTCTTTCTTTCTTTCTTTCTTTCTTTCTTTTTTTTTTAAGAAAGGTGATCAGGGGTTAGACTTTGGGGAGTTGCCTTGCTATAATCCAGTCTAACAGTTTTAAAATGTTAGTGGTCATGCTTTTTAAACTGCAAGTTGATACTGCCTACACGCTATTATACCTCAGCTCTGATGAGTGCTTGAATTCTGATCAGTTAAAAGGTGTTTATGAATTTTCAACAACTCAGACAGTAGTGTGGCAGCAAGGTAACATACATTTATTAATGTACACATAATAATAATGATCTTTTCTATAGTGACAAAAAGTGTGAGTAATCATTCTATGAGAAGTTGGGAAAGCATTTTAGGAAGGAGTCTGCCATGTTTTCTGACACTGAAAAATTAGGAAAGCACAAAGGGTTTTTCACATTCTGGGTTCTTGGCAGCACTTGACAAGCTGCTTTTTTTTTTTTTTTTGCTTCTGAACTTAAAGAAATAGGACACTGTTGAAGGAATGACTGGAGAATGTTTACAGCAACAACATTAAATGCAACTATAAAAGAATAAAATGTATAATGCCATTCTTTAATAAATAAGTTTTTTATTAAAATGCCAAATTGATGTAGTGTAAGAGGAATACTTCAGGAGGTGCTGTTATAAGAAAATAATCAATCTTGGGATGGTAACCCTATCACTAATTATTTACAGCATGCCTGTTGTGTTTTAATCCTTACTTATACAGTGATACTATCTAGTGTATGGATAAGACTCTCACTGGGCTCTGTATTTAGGAAAATTGCATTGGAGTTAAGTACAATGGTTTTAAATCCATCAAGTGAAACTTTGACATAATTGTCCTAATTTGCAATACAATTACTAGACTTTTATGGCAACATTCTGATCGCAGGTGTGTCCTCTTAGCTCTGTGGGGGTGAGAGAACGTTGTCTGACATCTGGTCCTACCTGCTTCTTTCTGGTCTGGAAAAAACATACCATAAGCACTGTTGGAGGTGTGGAGGACGATAAGCCCACAGCCCAGACTAAAACACACCCAAAGAAACATTTAGGTTCTTATTTGGAAGTTATTTCAGTAGATCATGTCCACACAGAACACTGAAATAAACATTTTCACCTACATGCTGTGTAAAAACAAAGTGGTGTGAAAACAAGTACAACGGCATGTTCTATGGAAAAGCAAAGTTTTCATACTGAAACTTATGAAATGTGATGTTTTTGTTATAACATTTTTTATATTTTTTTACTTTAGCCAGTGTTAGTATACTAATTTGAAATAATCTTCCTATAACATTATGTACAATCCTCTCTGAAAGTATTGGAATAGCCAGGCCAGTTATTTTGTTTGTACTATACACTGAAGATATTTGGGTTTAAGACCAAAAGATGAATATGAGACGATAAATCAGACCTTCAGCTTTCATTTGTTGATGTTTACAGCTAGATGTGTAAATACCAGTAATTGACCGGTAAAAACTCTGTGTGACCAACAAAATCAGATTCTGCTGGACACCGTGTCTGGTAAAAAAAAAAAATATCCACTTAAGGACATATTAATTTCAAATAATGTACATAGAATTTTAAAAGTAAGTAAAGATCGCGCACGGTGGCTTAGTGGTTAGCACGTTCGCCTCACACCTCCAGCTTCCGGGGTTCGATTCCCGCCGTGTGTGGAGTTTGCATGTTCTCCCCGTGTTGCGGGGGTTTCCTCCGGGTACTCCGGTTTCCTCCCCCAGTCCAAAGGTAGGTTGATTGGCAGCTTGGTAAATTGTCCGTAGTGTGTAAGTGTGTTTGTGATTGTGCCCTGCGATGGACTGGCACCCTGTCCAGGGTGTACCCTGCCTTGTGCCCGATGCTTCCTGGGATAGGCTCCAGGTTCCCCGTGACCCTGAAGCAGGAATAAGTGGTTGAAGATGGATGGATGAAAATTCCTGTTACATAGTCATATACACTTTATTCAGGTCCGGAATTAAAATTATCTCTTACTAAGTCAGATACTATTTTACTCAATACTTGTAGGTTTCAAGGTGGCTGATACCTAGACCTACTGATAGTCACTATATAAGTGTGCTGTTGAACAGACAATGGCAAACAGTTGAACCATACAATTTCCTTCCTCAAAATGTTCCTCACTGACACAGTGAGGAACATTTTGAGATCACAAATACATAAGATCCTCTTCCAGCTGCAAAAAAGGAAAGGGAAAGTTGTACATTTGAGAACATGTATTGCAACGTAATATTTTGGTGCTTTTTAAATACATTTCAATCTATCTAGTTCAAAGAAAGACAAATAAAATGTTATTACTTATACTGGTTATGTGAGTCTGTGAACACTGGCTAAGCATAATGGGCGGTGAAAGTCACCACACAAGGAGGAGTGAACGAAAATTTTCCACTTAACAGACTACACACATTAGTAGTTTCCAAGTGGTTTTACAAGTCCAAATAGTATGAAGAGTACTATTATTATTATTAGTAGTAGTAGTATTACTATTACTGCTACTACTACTACTACTACTACTACTACTACTACTAGTACTACTAGTACTACTACTACTACTACTGTGCTCTACAGGCAGTCACTCCCATAGATGGTATGATTTACTGTCAGTTTTTACAAGTCTCTACTCTTGGGATTGCCCAAAAATGCATCTATCAGACCTGGTAACTGACTTTTCTCTTATTCAGCACCTTCCAGAAAAAAAACCATTTACTTGTCTGGACACATGTCTTAAAGCTATGTCTTGCTTTTGAATCTGCTTCTGTATGAGCATCAGAAGTTCATTAATGAGGGCAAAGATGATGATCACATCCGATATCCATAGGAATTCTTATCTTCCAAATTTTTGAAATTCGCTCTGATAGACAACCTACAGCAACTTTCAGCAAACACTAGGAGATCCTAATCATGTTAGCACTCTCCTGATTTGGGTAAGTTTGTCTAAATCAAATCAAACAAGCACCTAGAGGAACTGAAGCTTGGTTTGAGAAATAGAATGATATTAATATCATTATATCATATAATATCATATAATGATATGATATAATGAAAATAATGATCTTATAAAATCTATTTATCTTAAAAATTTATGAAAAACTATTTGGTAGAACTATTTGGCCTCATACAGCTTTGTTATACCAGAAATCCTTTATTTTCCCTTCTCCAGAGCAGCTGTGGATTATTGTTGATTGTATTGAATTGTTTTTATAACAGGACTCCAGTAGAAATACCAGACTCCAGTAGAGATTAGAGCCAAGGCCAACTGAGCTTGATGCATTTAGGACCCTACAAATAAATGTGTATGGTAGATTTCTGTTTTTGTACATGTTCCTCTCAAAAAATAAGCTAAGGACACCAAGTTACAGGTGGAAAAATGATTTGTTCTATATTTTTTCTTTTATATCACATTACAGTTGTCAATACTCCTGACTTAGATGAAGATCAGACCACATTTTATGACAAATTTATTCAGAAAACCATGAAATTCCAAAGGGTTCACATACTTTTCTTGCCACTGTATATAAAAAAAAAGATAAATGGGGATAGATTGGCACCCTGTCCATGGTGTACCCTGCCTTGTGCCTGATGTTCCCCACGAACCTATAGGATAAGGGGCATAGAAAATGGATGGATGGATGATAAAGGGTCAATTTGACCTGGCGGCCACATAAGGGGTAAACAATACTGTATATTTTTTTAAAATGTACAGTGGTGTGAAAAAGTGTTTGCCCCCTTCCTCATTTCCTGTTCCTTTGCATGTTTGTCACACTTAAGTGTTTCGGAACATCAAACCAATTTAAACAATAGTCAAGGACAACACAAGTAAACACAAAATGCAATTTGTAAATGAAGGTGTTTATTATTAAAGGTGAAAAAAAATCCAAACCATCATGGCCCTGTGTGAAAAAGTGATTGCCCCCTAAACCTAATAACTGGTTGGGCCACCCTTAGCAGCAACAACTGCAACCAAGCGTTTGCGATAACGTGCAATGAGGCTTTTACAGCGTCCTGGAGGAATTTTGGCCCACTAATCTTTGCAGAATTATCCTAATTCAGTTACATTAGAGGGTTTTCGAGCATGAACGGCCTTTTTAAGGTCATACCACAACATCTCAATAGGATTCAGGTCAGGACTTTGGCTAGGCCACTCCAAAGGTCTTCATTTTGTTTTTCTTCAGCCATTCGGTTGGTGGACTTGCTGGTGTGTTTAGGATCATTGTCCTGCTGCAGAACCCAAGTTCGTTTCAGCTTGAGTACACGAACAGCTGGTCGGACATTCTCCTTCAGGATCTCTTGGTAGACAGCAGAATTCATAGTTCCTTTTAACCAGGCAAGTCTTCCAGGTCCTGAAGCAGCAAAACAGCCCCAGACCATCACACTACCACCACCATATTTTACTGTTGGTATAATGTTCTTTTTGTAAATGCAGTGTATCTTCTACGCCCAGATATACTTGGACACACACCTTCCAAAGAGTTCCACTTTTGTCTCATCGGTCCACAGAATGTTGTCCCAAAAGTCTTGGGGATCATCAAGATGTGTTGTGGAGAAATTGAGACGAGCTTTGATGTTCTTTTTGCTCAGCAGTGGTTTTCTCCTTTGAACTCTGCCATGCAGGCCATTTTTGCCCAGTCTTTTCCTGATGGTGGAGGCATGAACGCTGACCTTTACTGAGGCAAGTGAGGCCTGCAGTTCTTTGGACGTTGTTGTGGGGTCTTTTGTGACCTCTTGGATGAGTCGTCGCTGCGCTCTTGGGGTAATTTTGGGCGGCCGGCCACTCCTGGGAAGGTTCACCACTGTTCCATGTCTTCGCGATTTGTGGATAATGGCTCTCACTGTGGTTCGCTGGATTCCCAAAGCTTTGGAAATGGCTTTATAACCCTTTCCAGACTGAAAAATCTCAATTACTTTCTTTCTCAATTGTTCCTGAGTTTCTTTGGGTCTCGGCATGATGTGTAGCTTTTAAGGATCTTCTGGTGGACCTTACTGTGTCAAGCAACTCCTATTTAAGTGATGCCTTGATTGTGAACAGGTGTGGCAATAATCCGGCCTGGGTGTGGCTAGAGAAATTGAACTCAGGTGTGGACAACCACAGTTATAGTATGTTTTAACAAGGGGAGCAATCACTTTTTCACACAGGGCCATGATGGTTTGGATTTTTTTTCACCTTTAATAATAAACACCTTCATTTACAAATTGCATTTTGTGTTTACTTGTGTTGTCCTTGACTATTGTTTAAATTGGTTTGATGTTCCGAAACACTTAAGTGTGACAAACATGCAAAGGAACAGGAAATGAGGAAGGGGGCAAACACTTTTTCACACCACTGTATATATTAATACTGAAATACACAACACAATGCAACTTCCCCTGGAGGAGAAATCTAGGTATATGATACAGGTGTACCTTAAATTACATGTTGATGCAGATTAACTACCATTAAATGAAATATGTCAGTCTCTCAGTGATTTTGAACACAGAAATGATCCCAAAATCAAGGACATTCCATAATATTCACAGGACCTTGCTATTTTTCAAAATTACTGCAGATTTGGCTCAAGACATGTCATGTGACATCATCACAATGCACATTTAGCCCAAAGCCCCCTTTGATTCACATGCGTCGAACATGAGTACAGCTCAAACATCTCATTTACCAACAAACATCACAGCGAAATGTTTTCAAGTAGTTCCAAATTCTGTTTTCCCTCAAAACAGCACAAAAAAATCAGCATGTTTCTCTTCCATAGAGCATGCCATTTTATGTTTTGGCACCATTTACTTTCCACTTTCTTTGCACAGGTTTTTACCACAGAAAACAAATTCAGAGAAAACAAATTCAACTCACTACATTAGAAGTAAGTCCAGTTTCTTTTTCTTCCCAGTGAAACAAATAGATAACTAGATTCAAATATCTGCAAGTTTGAACAGAGCAAAAAATTGATAACGCTCTTCTGATAAGTATACCACATTTTTACATGAGGTTGGAAAGAAAAGATAAAGTGATAGTATTAGTGAAAGAAACAGTTCTGGACTTAGTGGATGTGCATATCACAATAATGCATATCATGTGTTCTCTATAATCATTCTGTTCACCGCGTCCATACACACAAACCATTCCATACCCTTTCTGCACCCTTTCCAAACTTCACTGACTCTCCAACTTTTTTCCCATCTCTTTAACTTATTGTGTTTAACTCTGTCTTTTTGTGTTTAACTCTGTTAACATTTGAAAGTGTCATTGGACCATTGAAAAGCACATTATAAATAAAACCACGCTAAGTAGCGAATCCGGTGACGAGAGACAAATCCCTCCTGTCGTTTACATAGTGGTTAGGGTTTTTACCTGGGGACGGGTTGCTAGCCCGACGCCCAACCTTCCCTTTTGCATCCGGGCTTGGGACCGGCAAATGGCGGACACTCACACACCCATTCATACACTACAGACAATTTAGACACACCAATCAGCCTACCATGCATGTCTTTGGACTGGGGAAGGAAACCAGAGTACCCGGAGGAAACCCCCGCAACACGGGGAGAACATGCAAACTCCGCACACACATGGCCCCGGCGGGAATCAAACCCCGGACCCTGGAGGTGTGAGGTTAACCACTAAGCCACCGTGCACCTTTATTATTATTATTATGTTCTTAATATGATATGTGTAAT